AAGAAATATGACACATACCTCTGTGACCGAATTTTACTAGTTTCACATATGAATATGTTAAAAAAAAGTCCTAATGTAATGCAACAGCATAAAATCTATCGTAAACTTTGCCTGCGTGACTTTTATTTATGTAGACAACCAAATAGAGGAGTTTTGAGGTGATGTTTTCTTGAGATGGTTCTTGCTTGACATTAGAGAATTCAAAGAAATATTTGTTTGATAAGCAATGAAAGCTAATTTGGCCTTTAATCTTGTTTGTAAAAAATTGTGTGCTGACATCACTTCTAATAGATAAATAAGTTTGGAGAAGCAATGGGTGGGACAGTTTAAGTTGATGAATATCTGTTCTCTGAAGAATAAAACTTCACATTTTATCCTGCAGAATGTCATAATTCATCAATAAATTAAATAATCAGTGCCTGTCATGTAGGCTGATACAGATATATAGAAAGATGAGGGCCATTTAAGAGAAAAAAGGTGTACAAGCAAAAAGCATTTCAATGCATACACCAAGCAGTATGTTTTAATATTTTAGTATATAGTCCACAATCCATAGGCATAAACAGAAACATACACAAGGGAACAGGTATTTATAACATTGTAAGTAATGATGAACTCTGAATACAACTGTGTAGTTATTATACATATTTTTTAAAGCCCACTGCAACATACAGGCTGTTACCTAAGCAGCATCTCACATAGCTATGTCTCTTGATTGTTAGAGGAAGCCACATCAGACCTAAGCCAATTATATTTACGATTGAGTAGGTATTGTCTCTTTTGAGAACAGTATAATGCATTATGTAAGTGAATAAATATTCTTTTATTTTAGATATTTTATGTAAACAATCTACTCAATTTTATAAATGAGACTGTGAACATTTTAAATTATAAAATTTCAAAAGTTCATCAGGTCAGATATACAAGCTAGAGCTAATAAAGCCATGAGGTTTTGGTCTCTCTTAAGCTTGTGCAAATCATATGCATGACTAATTTGGACCTGATGAAACAAAACACCTCACAGAGAAATGTAAGGTTATATATTTTTATTTACTCAAATTATTTTTAGACTTTTACTGTTTAACATGTATTTAATAATTGAAAAATCATCTTAGTTAACCTCATGAAATTCAATTTTTGAAATATAACCTTTTCTGTAGTTCTATAACTACTTATATATTTAGCAAAATATATAAGAAACAGTGATTCATACATTCACAAAGAAGATTTTGTTTTCCAAAAAATATGACTTTGAAAAATATAACTTTTTAAACCATTTAATATTGTAATTCAAATGGAAATGAAAAGTTATAATGCATTTAACTTAATTATTTCAAAACAAAGTTAACTATTACCAGAAATGAATGAACCAAGCATCAAAGGTAATATATAAATTTTTAAACACATATTTTCTTGAAATAAAATTTATCAGTATCTGTTCAGAGTGGCCAACATCATTGTGCTGAGATATATTAAAGGGAATTATAGAATAAAACTTCTAAGAAACCCCCAATCTTAGCTATATTTTTCATAACTGCATATTATTGTTGAGTTATGTATAGGTAAATATAAATATTCAGATTATTATATGAATACCTGTCTCCTGTCAAAAAGCCAACTTTTGGACTGATATGTATAGAGCTCCCTGGACCATTCACATGTACTATTTCAGAAGCTCTTAACACCACATCTGCAGATGGGATTTATGGAACCTCTTTTCCCAATTGGCTGATTTCTTTTGCTATTGATGTGTTTTATTATTAATGTTTATGCTTGTGAATTTTGTGTTGTGTGTGAATACATAGAGAGGACAGAAGAGGAAGCTAGTAGGTTTCTTCTGATTGATAACTCTTGACTTTATCCCTTTATCTCACTTTGAACCTAGAGCTGCTTTGGCTCTCCGCAAGCCCCACGGAACCCCCTGTCTCTACCAAAACAGTGTTGAGTTTATGCACATGGGTACTAGGGACTTGAACTCAGATCCTCATGTTTGTGCAGCAAGTGTTTTTATCCATCATCCCAACACAAAACTTTCTATATCACCCTTTACAACTGTAAAATATCAATCATTTTTATTTTTTTAAAATATTTGTGCTCTATATTCTAGGATACAAAATCTTAGGGTCCTAAATAAATAACATTTTTTACATTTTGTAGCTTAACAACTTCCATTTTGCGCCATACATATGTTTACCTCTTTTTTATTATTTACTGTCAAGGACATTGAAATGCCCTCATCGAATAAATTTCCCTAAGTATAACTATGCTACAGATATGGTGGCAATAATAATAATTCTCAATTAATTACTCACTCCTTTTCTTTACTGTATAAAGAAGTCCAATATGAGAGATTGTAAAAGATAAATAAGATATATTGGGGATACTTGCCCCATATATACTAAATGTGGGATGATACAAAGAAGATTTGCATGGCCCTACACAAGGATGGCATAAAAATTCACAAAGTGTTGCATATTTTTGGAAGCAACATGAAGTTTAGTGAGGAGAGAAAACAAGATTTGGGTGGAGATGGAGGTGGCAAAATATATGATCAAAATGTATTACATGAAAAAATACAGAAACTTAAATAGAAGAAATTATAAGTAGGCACCAAGAACTCACTGCCAAGATAGCAGACTTAAGGAAAAGTGTTGACTCTTCCTATAATTCTCAAAAATTGAAAATAAGAGATTTGAAAATCACCACGGAGACGGACGTATTATTTTATGAAATTTAAAGTGATGTCTGACTTGGGGGGGAAAGTAAGACTGATTTTCTTTTTTTTTTGGGGGGGGGAGGTTTCTCCGTAGCTTTTGGTTCCTCTCCTGGAACTAGCTCTTGTAGACCAGGCTGGCCTCGAACTCACAGAGATCCGCCTGCCTCTGCCTCCCGAGCGCTGGGATTAAAGGCGTGCGCCACCACCGCCTGGCTGATTTTATTGTCTTAACAAAGAGCTTTTCACCTATTTAAAAATTTGGTGTAGGGTTTATGTTTATGTGGACTAGTGCATGCATATATTTGGGTTTGAGGTCTGCATATGCAACCGTGTTCATACATACATGGTCAGAGAGAGAGAGACATCAAGTGTTTTCCTCTATTGCTCTCCTTTCATTGTCTTTTATTGAACCAGAAATTCACTATTTAACTAAACTGTCTGGTCAGAGAGCTGGCGAGGTCCCAGTGTTCATACTGTCCCAGTACCAAAAACCAAAAATCATTTTCTTTTTCTGAATCACTGTTGTTTGAAAACCCAAGGAAAGCTTTTTTACTCTCCTAGTGTATGATCATCGCTCCTTTATGAACTGCTGCTATTTCTATGTCTAATTATTATGACAAACAAGAAATAGCTGCTTCAGTTTTACTTTGTCATCATTATGTAAAATGAAAACAGGGAAATCACATAACCAAGAATAATGTTTTATTTATTCCTCCAATTTAATCTGAAAACAGATCACAGCTACCATTTACCAAATCTGCTTATGTATATTTAAGCTAAATAGTCATAAGACTCAGCATGCCATAAAAATTCATTATCTGAGTCTTGACATTATGGGATGAAAATTAAATATGTAAAAACATTTGTTTTGCATCTTCATTTGTCTTAATTTGTAGAATAAACTGGAAATACATTAAAAGATGGGTGATTGTTTAATTGAAATCACTTTCAGGGGATGAGGAATTGGCTCAGTGGCTAAGATTAAGAGAGAGATTTGGCAGCTAGGATAGTGTAACTGCTGTAATCATCTTCTTTGCTTTACCTATTCGATTTTTACCCTGCCCCAAATACCTATTAATCAATGATGTTTTACCTGTCCATTATTTTCTCTTTTCCAAAATAATATGAGTGAAATTGTAAAGTCTGCAGTCTTCTCAAGCTGACTGTCTTTAGTTACATACATTTCAGTTTAACCAGGGACTTTTGATATCTCAACATATGATTTGTTTTTATCATGATATAATAATCTATTTATAACTGCATCACTGTAGTTTTCTTACTTGCTAATTTATCACATGATGGAAATCTTGTTACCCCTGTTCCTTGGCATTTAGGAAGAAATTATTATAAAAAGACTAGCAAAAAAGAGTGATATGGATCCCATTCCAAATGGATACATCTACAAAACAGCCCTATACCTAATACTCAGGACACTTGGTGGATGAGTGTGTGGAAATATTGTAAGAGCCAGAAGGGCAGAAAATTTCCAGGGATATTGTTTCCAAAAAGGGTCAGAAACTAAGCCTGATAATGCTATATCTATATGACTGTTCAACCATGAGATGAACAAAAGAACATCAACAAGCATGCCAAATGATAGGGAAAAGCCCAAAAGGCCTCAGCTTTACACAAAGAACAATAGTCAGCTATGTAAAGCTGGTGGCCAGCACTGAAAGCAGGCAAATGTGTGGCACTCTAGAGGTCACTTGGATCCCGCCCCCTGATGCCTGCCTCTGGACAACAGCTTGATATCCGATATGAGTTTCAGTGATCATCAGGTGTGCACCCCATTATAACGTCTGAGATGTGCCTTTTGACTGCTGGTTTCCACTGAAATAATACGTACAAAGAGATTTCTATCTGGGGGAATTAGAGACATCAGCTGGTATTTAGTCAATAGTCACTATTGGGTAATAAAGCAGTGAATATTGACTAAACATATCTTCTTCAGCACTGATCTTGATCACATGATTCCACACTGGTATTCAACAATGTGCAACTACCAGATCTTTTAGCAGCAGTACAATTGGGCTCATTCTTCTTGACAAAGATCTGTCCATTTAACTTTTAAGGTCCAATTCTGTGAAATATCACGTGTTAACATAGTTTAATTTGTTTAGTTATTTCAACATGCTCAGTAGAAAAACTTTAATGTAATATAGCTGTATAAGAGATGCATGAAATTCACAATAAATGGATGAACAAAAAATTGATTAGAGGGAGAAAATGAAAGTAAGTAAAGGTGGTATTTGGACTCGTAAGAAGAAAAGGGACATTCCACAATCAGTGGAGGTGTACAAAAGCAACTCAGGCACCTAAGGTATGTAGTCAGCAAGAAAAATGTTCACACAGTACACACAGTCAACAGTTTTGAACCTGTAATGTATTCTGGAAACCAGAAAAGAGAAGACTGGAAGTGTTTTCAGTACTTCAAAGCCAGGAAGGCAGGAGCATTAGCGCCAGGAGAGCAATCGCAGCGAGCAGCTCAGCATCAGAGACAGGAGTAGAACAAATATCAGACAGATCTTAAGAAGAAACAACATGTGAAGAACAAACAGAAGCCTGGTGAATGAGACAATCGGTAATAATTTCTCATAGTCGAAGCATTTACTAAGTAGAATTTAAGCAAAAAGGAACACATCAATATCTTTTCCATTAAGCACTAAAAATTAATTACTATTCTCATTATGTGGATACAATAAATCTGATAGCCCATCCTCTGTCCTCTTATAATCAGAAATAGATGGAATTCTTCTATTATGAGTGGATATGATGAAGAGTTCCATTAAAATGAGGGAAAATAATTAATCCAATTAATTAATTTTAAATAGGCATCCAATATAAGATGATTATATATTTGTCTCTGCCCTTGACATTGTGTCTGACTAACTTGAAATCTGTAATATTTTCTATAATACACACAAATATGTAATAAGCATGTCAACAAGCATCTCATTCCATATAGAGAAAGACAACTTCAGTTTGCATATATTTGAGTAATAATTTAAAATAATGCAATGGGTTACAGTTACAGGTGCATATATGTAAGGTTCCAATTTTAGTAACCTCAAAAATAATAACCAGCAAATTAATTTTATGAATATCAGAGAAATTCCTATAAAGTCAAATGAACTGACAATATGAGAATAACAGTAGTAAACATTTCTAATCACCTATGACTGCCACCCACTGCATCCCCGTGTCTGCGCTCTGTGCGCTATTACCCAGTTCCCGAGCTTCGGGCAAGGGGGCTGGAGGTTAAAATACACAGACAGAGAGACAGCAGCACGGATCATCATTGAATTCCCCAAGAATGCCCCCCTTATTGTGTTCAGGGGCAGATTATATAGAGATAGCCACGCCCCGGCCCAAACCACCAGAAACCACTCTCCTGCCATCAGGAACTCCTGAAGGTCTCCTGCTCAGAGCAGCTGTAGGCACTCAGATCAGGGGATTACAAGAAATTCAGGATCTGGGGTCTCACTGCTCCCAACATATGACTGTATATGCAAAGGAATTTAAATGATCCTGGATGTTTTAAATATTATTTAAATCAATTATTCTGTACCTGGGGGATATTTTCTATGATGGCAAATTATCCTTCTATACCTGAGACATTAAAAGCAAACATTTTTCTTAACAAGGTCTTTTATATTTAAATTTAATGTTATTAATTACCGAGGGTAGCACGAATAATAAAAACCCAGATACAGACAATGTAGTTCAAGATGAAGATCAGAAAAACAAAGCAGCCAAGCACTGAAAGTTCTTACCTCTTCTACCAAGACTGGGCAATCCTGTCCTGAGTGTGACTGCAGACTGAGACTGAGCTCCTGTCTCCTACCATCTTATATTTCTCTCTAATGCTGGTGTTAAAGGTGTGTACCACCACTGCCTGGCCTCTATAGCTAACTAGTGTGACTACTGGGATTAAAGATGTTTGCCACCACAGCCTGGCCTCTATGGCTGACTAGTTTGGCTAACTTTGTATTCTAATCTTCAGGAAAGCTTTATTTATTAAAGTGCAAATAAAATATTGCTATAACCCAGAGTTTCATTCATATTTCTTTGCTAGTAGAATTTCTTTACCTGGAATATATATATTGAAGGCTGGCACTAACTGGCTTAAGTGGAGTAGGCCAGTAGAAACCAAAATGAAAACAGACTCTGGAACTATTCTTTTCCATTTTAGCTTCTGAAGGAAAATCACAAAAGCAAAGCTGAAATTTAAGATACAGAAAATATATCCCTTCTACCTGAGAGAATCTGTACAATTCTGCTTAAAGGAAATAAATATAGACTGTTAATTAACTCAGACACCGTGATTAACCATGTAATCAAAGGAAACATGGAAAATGCATACCTAAAAACACACTGAAGTTAAACAAATTTGTTAAAATGTTTACAGCATCTATGAAAGAAACAGAATAAAATGAAAAGAACACTTCTAATAACCATTACTTTATTCACAGAAAGTTGTTACTGATAATACCTATAATGGCTTTCTATTACAATAAAATAATATATACCTCTCGTGATTAAAATAGTAATTTAAAGATAAGACAAAAATAAAATCTCTTTATTCATTTGGAAATAAAAAGTAAATGCACACCTTCTCAGCATTAGTTAGATTGTTGCTGCTATGACAATACCTGAGCAAAGCCACAAGAGAGAGGAAATGGTTCTGTTGACTCCTGGGTATCTATCATTGGAGGGAGGAATTATAGAGACCAGGAGGAAGGGGGACAGAAGGTATGTGATTGT